TTTTATTGAATGTAAGGAAGCCAAATTAAATGAGACCACTATCCCAAGGGGAGGAAGAGTAGTTAATATCAGTAGGAAGAGTATGAAAGACAAGCAGCAGTACATGAACCTGTGGGTGGGAACCACTGTCCTAGGCACTCTCATGAGGGATGATGTGATCTGCGCATGCTTCATGCTGGGACTGAGCCATGCGCATGCTGGTTACATAAAGGAGACTGTGACATGAGAACAAATGTTTACTAAGTCTTTTTTTAAAAAAAGCACAATGAAAACAAAAACCCTAGCAGACCCAGATTTCATCCCTTGGAAATGAGATTAAAGTTTTGTTTGGGTATGTTTTGTTTCTGATGACAGCCGGTCATTATCTGGAAAGAAGCTTGGGTTTTGTTTTGGGTATTTTTGTGTACAACATACTGTTGTATTTTCTCATGTGAAGCTGATGAATTATTTTCTGATGATTCTACTGCTCTGGCTGCCTGGATGTGAACACAATTGTCTATGTTTATTGCATAAAAATACTGTTCTGAATCTGAATGTTACTTTAAGGGTTACTCATCAGAATTCAGTTAATGAGGAAGCCTTCAGCTCAGGTAACTTTAGCTTAGTCTAGCGACTGTCTTATTCAATAACTTCTCATCTAGATCTTTCTGTAGTCAATAACAAGATAAAAGTTCCCCCAGCTGTAAAGTCATCCCAAAATGAATGGAGCTGAACTACATTCTGTAGGTTTTTAACTTCCCACTGATTATAAAAAGGGGTCTAAAGATTAATCTTACACAGGACATTTAACTTTTCACACAGCTTTAAACAGATCAGATGAGTTCTAGCTCTTAAACCTAAGGTGCTTGAGCAACAGTCTTGGGACAGCAGTTTGTTCTTACACTTGCACTTATTGATGGGGAAAGTTGAGAAACTCCCTAGAAACAGAATTTGGAAATGCTTTTGGTTTATGTTACTTACCTTAAACAACTACTCCACTAAAAACAAACAAACAAACAAAAACAAAAAAAAACCCAACACAACAAACACAAAACCAACCCAACAAACCAACCAACCAACCAACAAAACAACAAAAAACAACTTATAAATGAGTTTACTTACATGTGCTGTGGAAAACATCACAATCATTAGAGTTTGAAGGGGGCTCTAGACATCATCTATTCCACCCCCCCTGCTAATACAGGAAAAAAAAAATAAAATAAGAGTAGTATTTTGGATAATTTCCATCATCCACAGACCCTTTTCTTGATGGTCTGATCCCTGTATTTCCTTGCAAAGCACTTTATGCTTCTTTGTCTTTTGGTAAGGAACGCAGTTATTACAGAAATTTTAATGGGCAAACTTCGAGAGATCTGGATATGCATTTTGAAAGACCAATCAAGTTTCTGGAGAGTCAGAGGCCATATGTAATGCCAATTCTATTTTTCTAATATAGTATCAAAGTTCTCTCTATCAACAGTAGGAATCTTCTGTGTCACTTATTGTTTTGTTTCTTCAACTTTCAGGTGCTCCATCTTAAACATGTTCTCCTGAGTACTTCTGTGTAGTGTTACTAAACCTCACTTTGTGACAGTTAATACATTGCTCAAAGTCAATGTGTACTACTCGACTACCTCTTGCCTTTGAGGAAATCACTTCAACATCCGAAATTATCTGAGCTTTACTGCTAGATTTCATCCTTCTAGGAGCCTTTTTCTCATCCTGGGAGGTCTTAAACTAAGATGATCAGTCTTGAAATCCTGAAGAATAAGTAGACTGTAGTCCCTCCTTTTGTTTGAGATTCATCTATTAGTGCTGATCTGCTAATCCCTGCACCAGGAAAAGCTGGTCTCCACAACAAGCCTGTTGTGCATACAGTTTTTTCAGACCTAGGGAAAAATGTATTTATTTTACTGTCACTGAATAGATCTACTCATCTTAAAACTACTTCAGTTTCTTCTTTCTTGTAACTTATTTCACCATCTCCTTCAGTCTACAAAGATCAGCCATGATTCCAAGCATGCCTAATTACTCTATTTTTCTTTACATTGAAGACCTCACAAGCTCACTCTCTCTATCATCTTCATGCCTGTCAGTTTCTGTTGCCTGTGTGACTCATTGTTATCACTCAGCTAGATTTTTTTCTTCATTTCTTTGCATTAACAATGATGTGCCATGATTCCAGACTCTTTTTTTTACTATCCTTTTCAAAAGTAATTTCACCTTCAAACTTTACTTTTATTATTATTGATGCATAAGACTTACTTTTTCCCCTACTTTACCTTCAAAAAACTGCACACAACTCATTGAATGGACTTTTGCCTCCTTACCTTTGTTTTTTGTGCCCTTTCAAAATGTGCTCATTAGCTGTTGTCTTCTTCTGTATCTATTTTTCCTATATCTGAGGGCTTAAAGAATCCAGATTTCACTGAAATGAGATGGATTTAAGACCTCTGTCTTGTAAAGCACTACTGTTTTTAACCTTGGCCTCTGAAAGAATAGTGAAGCATTATTAAGGCAGAAAAAATATCACAGGATTCTTCCTATCTCAGCAGAACACAGACTGCTTTTTGGGACCTTGCACTCACCATCAGTTTAACCTTTAGAGCACCTTGGTGGATCAATCAGATCAAGATTCTAACCCAAAAGCAAGCACTATAGAAACTACTTTTTTAAACAAGTGCTTAAAAGAGAACATGAGACTGCCCTATACATTCTGTGCTGTCTAATTTGCCACAGATGTCAACAAGTAGCATCCCATGTTTTTCAACAAAAAAGGAAGTAATCCCTGATTCTTCCTCTATACATTTGTGCTTTGTTTGTCTTTCCCCCATGCTATTAATTCTTCAGCAGATTGCATTGGGGCAAAGTCTGGGTAATATTAATACTATTCACTTAGACTAATTCTTCACTCAGATCGATGCTTCTATTTTCTCATATCAGTAGCTTCAGTCCTGGTGATGCTGATTTAGCAGGACTGGCTGTGTGTCTCCTTACTTACACAAGTCCTTCTTGGATGCCACTTCCATACTTGCACACACATATGCACTTCATACATGCAATGACAGGGCAAGTACCTGAACTTACTGGACTGCAGAAATTGTATTCACATGTATCATCAGGTTGTGAGCAAGAATATTCAGAAGGCCTGACAAATCATCCTACACAAAGCTTTAGTGTTTCCATCTTTTGTGGCAGGGAAACCTATAAAACCCTTCTGGATCAGATATATTAATCAGAAAGAGACAGTAGAAATGAGTGCCCCATTAATTAATACTGGAAGAAAAACAAAACAAAACCACACACACACACACAAAACATCAATAAAAAAAACCAACCAAACAAAAAAAAAGGAACACAGAAAACACTCCAAAGTACCACAGACAAAACCTTGCAACAGCCATGACATTCAGTGTAGGAATTTTGTATGCTGTAAACTGCAGTATTCCTACTAGAGTCAGCACTCTTAGAAAAGCTGCAGAATCATTAAATCATTAAATCCATGTTGCCTTTATAATTTTAAGATAAAAGTTCTAAGAATTTCCATTGTGGAGGGATACTGGCACAGAGCTCTAAAATAGAAATGTAGAAGTACTTCAGGGTACACCAATGACACCAGAGATACCAGAACACAAAAATAATCCGTGTCACTAAGATAACTCCTTAAATACAGAAAAAAATAGTTCTGTGAGTGCAACCCTTCACTTGCAAGGTGTGCACACAAGTCTCTGTCCTTGTCCACTATGGCCTTGCATGGTGGACATTCCCCATGCTTGTCTCTCCTGCCAGCAAGTTTATTGGCTTCAGCTGAGCTGCACAGATTCCACTCTGCATACCTATGAAACCTATTTCTTCTGGTCACCATCCTTCAGCTCTGCTCCCATCTGTGGCTGTCAGAAACCTGAGAGCTGCAGCGGCTTCTTCTCTCCCTCCACTCACCCTGCCTGCCCTTCTCTCCTGCTCCTAACAGCCTCTTGACCTCTTGACTGTGTTTGCAAAATTCACCTCCCCTGGAGACATCCCACACTGTGATATCCAGGAATAGGTTACAAGACAAGCTTTCTTCCCGTGGCTTGGCCCTACATTTTTATTTTTATTTTTTTAATAAATGTGCAATTGGCAAATATTTAAGCAGCAAAGTGAACAAGCAAATTACATAATTAGACCATCTTTCTTTCACCTGTGAAGTATTCAGAGTATATTTAAGCTGATACACTCAGTAGCAAATTCCTATTCTGTTGCTCTTTTCAGTGGTGTTTGTAATTGCCTTGAAGTCATCAGGCCACCAGAAGGGTTACTGATGCATCTACAGCAAGTAGATGCAATTCTAGTTGTATGTTGTGAGTGAAGGAAAAATAACTGGTCAGTAAATCTGTAAGAGGACAGTGCAAGGAATCATCAGAGGAACAAAATATGTCACTCTACTACAATTTGTATAGGTCACCTCAATTTCTAGTGTAGTGAGAGATGATTGAAAGAGAGTGGTGGAAAGAACTGCCCTACCATGTACCTAGTAATTGCTTGGCAATGTCTTTCCACTGCTTTACTGATAATTTATTTGGTCCACAGCACATCTGACTTTCTTTCAGTCCTGGCTATGCACATGAGTTATGCATTTAATAGCCTGCCACAGACTCAGCAGTTAAAGAAAGCGCTGAACAGGAAAGGCCAAGCATCCTTTATCATTAAACAATATAACTGCCGAAGTAGTGGTGTATCTGTCCTTCATAATAAATCTAATCCTTCAGCCATGCACTAGAGCTGAAGCACTGATACATTGCACAGAGAGGCTAGCAAGACCCTCGGGTAACATTTTCAACATTGATACAAAAAATGCTCATAAAAAGAAGTTAATTATCTAAGGAGCTCAGCTGTTGCTTGCAAAGACTTTGATGTATGGTAGCCCCAGCAGTGTCCTTGTGTACAAAACATTTATTTAGCCCATTATATACTTAAAGCATCATGAAAACAACTTAAAAGTATACAAAGGAGGAAAATGATTCCTTTTGCTTATTTTGTAGCCAAAAGCTGGGTCTCTTGGATCGGGTTCGTGGTACCAATACTAAAGGAAAGCTATTTACTCCTCTGAATGTAGATGCCATTGAAGAAAGTCCTTCAAAAGAGCCTAAGAATGTTGTCTTGAATAATAAGGAGCGTTTTCGCACTGCATTCCGAATGAAAGCGTATGCTTTTTGGCAAAGCTCTGAAGGTAGCCCATCTGTGTTGGTTTCTTCCTATCCATCCCCTCTTCTCCCCATTTTACTTTGCTCTTCTGCATCTCCTGTTGAAGGTTTGTGACTCTCTGGACCAAGCATGGCTGGTCCCTGGTTTTATACGGCGCATTTGGGAAATCTCCAAGAAATAAATGCTGGAGTCCAGGCAACACAGTGCTTGAAATAAGACAGTGGGCCTCTGAAAACAGCAAGCAATGTAGTATGTAGTTAGTGGTGTGATCAACCTATTTGACCTGGAACAAGAGGGTGCACTGGGGAGTGATGTTGAGCCCCCTCCTAAACTGCATACATTCCTGCACTAGCCTGTGTCCAGGCTTCTCAAATATCTCCTCACTGCAATCTCTTAAAACCTTGTTTTATAGAGTCAAAATCTGCTTCCCTCTCCCTAAGACTGCCCCTCAGCAGATTTCCCTTGTGTGTCTGTGCATAGTTCCTCTCAGCTTCTCTGGGCACATGTTTTCTTCTTTTCTGTAGTGTCTAAATTGTCTCTAAGTAACAGTTTCTCCTTCTGCCACCTGGCAGCAGTGCATGCTGAGCAGACTACCAAGGATGTAGTTTGCATGTCCACACCAGGAGCTTGGTTATCTTTTTCCATGAAGTTACATGAGCTCCAAGTGGAAGGAGAACTTGGCCTGTAGCTTCTACGCCTGCTTTAACCTTCCTTAAAATAATTTTGGCAACGATTTATCATTGTCAAAGCTCCTAAAAGTGGAAATTTCTAAATCCATTGGAAAACAAGTTTCAGAAATTCTGGAAGCTGAGAGGAAATCCCTCAAGTAATGTTGCGTTGTCAAATCACTTTCAAGAGCTGACCAGAGAAAGAGAACCCTGCAAGAGGTGCTCCTTTAATAAATTACACTTTATGTAGTTCTTTAGTTAGCTAGATCATCCTCCAGAAATTGCAGGGTCAGATGTTCACACAGCTTTTTTTGACCTGCTTTGCAGATGCAGGAACAGGGGAACCCATGGCAGAAGAGAGAGGCGACAGTAGTGACTTCCTTATGGAAGATATGATCCCCACATTCAAGACAGCCATCCGAGCTGTCAGGTAAATGTTTCTGATGCTCCTCAATGATTTACCTTGACTTTGAAAGCTTATGTTTTGGGAAATCACATTACCATGTTGCTACAAGTTGATTCATTGTTGCTGTTACTACTTTTGGTTTAGATGCAATAGTTTAAGTCATTCTAGATATCTTGGAAAGCACAAGACAGACCATATTTGAAGTCCTCTTTGAAGATATGCAGGAAGGAAAATGTTTTTCAATTGACTATGCCATTTTTGCAAGATACACCATAAATATATTTCTTATAAAATAATATTGCATACAGTTCTGCATTAAAATATGCATTATATACAGTATCTTGCTTAATGTAGTGACTGCATTATTTATAAAAACTGGAGTTTTCTCTTAGCAGCAAAACTTGAGCTGACTCAACTCTTTTTTTATTCACGATTGCATGAGAGTAAAATGTATTTTTCAGCTGTTGTGCTTTAGTAGATGATGAGGTCTCTATTTCAGCAGTCTTCAGCTTGTGACATTTTTCATATCACAAGAGATATTCCCTAGGGTTAGAAAACTCCCAGTAAAGCTTGATAATGTGTTTATCACAACAAGCAGACAGAATTCATTCACCAATGCTCTGTTACTCTTCCACTCACTATTTTTTTGCTCTCTTCCCTTGAAAAATGTCCCCATAGGAAAATACTTTTCTCTCACTGCAATTACTTTGTTCCAGAAGTTGTTATATCTGATTCTTTTCCACTTGCGTGCAGGAGAACCAGTCATTGAAATTCCAAGTTTCCTTAAGCCTGGTGACAGGCTTTTGCTCATGTTACACATGACTGCTCTCCTCCTGCTGGAAGTTTCTTCATCCCTACTTCCTCCTCAGTTTTCCCTTTCTTTCCTTGGTTCCTGCATGCTTTCAAACACAAACTCTACATCTGTCCTGTTTTCCAGCCCCGCCTCCATTACTACTGCCTTTCCCACGTCCTGTGCAAATGGAATTGATTGATGTAATGTATGATTGATGTAATTATGAAGACAGGCTGAGAGAGTTGGGGCTGTTCAGCCTAGAAAAGAGAAGGCTCTAGGGAGACCTTATAGCACCTTCCAGTACTTGAAAGGGGCTACAGGAAAGCTGGGGAGGGGCTTTTCACCAGAGAAGATAGTGATAGGACAAGGGAAAATGGTTTGAAGCTGAGAGAGGGGAGATTTAGGTTAGATATTAGGAAGAAATTCTTCACTGTAAGGGTGGTGAGAAACTGGAATGGGTTGCCCAGGGAGGTTGTTGATACCCCATCCCTGGAGGTTTTTAAGGCCAGATTGGATGAGGTTTTGTGCAACCTGATCTAGTGGTGGGGTTCCCTGCTCATGGCAGGGGGGTTGGAACTTGATGATCTTTCAGGTCCCTTCCAACTTTAATGGTTCTATGATTAATTTCCCCTTAAACTCAATCATAATTCAGGCTTTTTTTCCTCTATGTAGTTTGCCCAGACACTGAATGATAAAGGGAAGTAACTCTTTCAGAGTTACTTAATGGGTTTTCAGGGTCATGATCAAGGTTATTTTAAATTGAAATTGCTAACAGTGTGATTCCTATTTTTTGTTTATGTTTTTTTTAAGTATGTTTTTGCTGCTATCCATAAAATGTAGCATTTTGAAATCTTTAAAATTTTATAAGCAAAAGAGTTAAAATATTAAAAACCCTTAAAAAGTCATAATGGAATTATCTTTGCTAAATGAAAGTTCATACAGGCTAAAAATACCCACCAACCCTGAGTAAAGAAAAAGTTAGAATCTTAAAAGACAACAGCACTTCCCCAACTGAGACCAATAAGAACATATAGCCTCTACTGAGAAAGCAAACCTTTGGATCCCAAGCCTAAGATAGATTAAGAAAATAAATGCTTTCCATTCTTTACATATATTTCTTGTCTATTTGACAAGAACAGAAATATTCTATCATGATATAACAGTATAAGCTCATTTATAAAAAGAAAAGAATGAAAAAAAGAATTCCAAATGTTTTTTTAGTGCTCTGGCAGCAAATTATTATAAGAATTCTGTCATGAATTGCTAGGATATTTTATAGTAATAGCAATAATAGCAGTTATTATTATTATTACTACTACTGCTACTACTACTACAATAATGTTATACTGCTGTTTTTTCAAGGACACTTCTGGCAGTTCTAACACTTTTTCTGTTGTCCACATCTTGAACAGCTGCTGACTTCTTAACTTCCACATGTTTATCTAATTAACATATCCTATCCAAAATTTTCCCAAATGAAAAATCAAAACCAAACTGGAAGTTATTCAGCATTATAGACAAAAAAAAAAAATAATAACTTTAATAGGCTGAAGCATTTACAGCTTCACAGCTTCAAATTCCCCTGTGACTTGTGTTGTTCAAAATCAAATGCCACAGATGAGTTTGAAGCTTTGAACTATTTTTAGTTATGATAATAGTGTTGAAAAAGACATTTTGTACAAATAATTTCTTTTAGCCCATTAATTATGAAAAGCCAACTATTGTGTACTTATGAATGTGCTATGATATTACTCTCTGCTTATGTTTTATTGTCTTGTTTTGAAATAACATTCTCAATTTCCTAGCATCCAGAGTATTTATCAAGTATTCAATAAAAGTGCAAATTATCATTATGGAATTTAAGTAAGAAGTTAGTGATTTTTCTGTTTCTCCTGCAGGATACTACAGTTTCGTCTCTATAAAAAAAAATTCAAGGAGACTTTGAGGCCTTATGATGTAAAGGATGTGATAGAGCAATACTCAGCAGGGCATCTTGATATGCTTTCCAGAATAAAGTATCTTCAGACAAGGTAAGAATCCTCTGATAAATGGGGAAAATATGTAGCTGTGCTGGCAAAAATAAAAACATAGTTGGCCTGTTTGACTACAAAGCAACCCAGGAGCTCTGTCTTTGCACAGTGTAGCTGGTCAATAAAAAGCCTTTTCCTCAAAGAATAAAGGCAAGTCAGGAGCTAGCAGGGCCAACTGCAGCAGAAGAGACCACTGGCTCACATTTAAAACAAGGAAATTGAAAGAAAAATTCCGTGAATTTTCTTGACCTTATTTGATTAGGATCAGGTTGTTCCCTTCTCCCCATTTTATGGATGTTAAATGAAAGGAATAGTTATTCTACATGAGCTTTTAATTGGGCTAAATTCTCTGCTGACCTGTGCTTGGTGGAACATGTGATACAAGTGCAAAAATACATCAGCACAGAAGATTGTACATAACCTTCACTTAGCTGTAAATTGACCTCACTATTATTGCTCTAGAAAAGCTACTCTCTTTAATTATATGCTACAAAGCACTATTGTTACTCTACAAAATGAGCTCTGCATCATATGAGCTTAGAATTCAATGCAATAATGTATTTTTCGACTCAGGAAGTTAAAGAGGGCTCATGATGTTAGAAACCTGCACCCTATATATGGTAGGGTCTACATGCCTTGTACCAGAAGGCCTTCCTTCATCTCAGGCTGAGGTGTGATTTTGGACAGCAGGGCACATCTCAGATACTCTCATGAGTCCTTGCAGCAGAGAAGGTGCCTGACATGATTAGGCTCAACTCACACAGTGGTTATGGTAGGTGAATTAATGTGGGAATCTAAGCACAGCCTCAACCCTGAGGTGTTCAGCTCACACCCCAGTTTAAAGAATCACAACATTTCAGCAGCCATTTTGCATAAACACAGAGAAGACCTTTTTAGAGGTTTTTGAAGAAAAGGCATAATTCTGTCAAACCCTGTGAGAAGCCTCTTATAGTTAATAGGAAGCTGGTCAGCATAATTAATGGCTTTTATGGCACAATTAATCCCTTCTTAAAACAGATGCCTTGATTTGATCAGATGAATCTCCCTTACTCTCCCACAGTTTTTCTTCAATGTTGTCTAGTTCTCCACTGATTGTATTTGGACAAAACCAGGGAGCTGAGTTTAACTCATTGTGTTTATGAGTAACGGGGTGCCACAGGAGATTGATGAGACATTGACTGATGGCCCAGCAATGCTAGGGTGTCCAGCAAATGTATAATTTAGCTTTGTGAGCCTTGGACTTCTTCAGTTCCATTTTCAAAACTTCGTGGAGCGACGTGCATGGATTGTCTGATAAAACACGTAACTGCTCTAGGGACTAGTGCTGACTGATACCTGGTCAGTTTGGTGTGTGGGATGAGAGAAGAGATGCTTTCTTCCATCTGAGCAGCTGGATATGACAAATGTCAGAATATACTGATATTGTAAAAAAGTGTAATTAAATATGCTGGAGTCTCCCAAACAATAATTCTGCTTTTGTTCCTAATAGGAAGTCAAGTCGGATTCTTTGTAAAACTTGATTTATACTTTTATTTTTCAAACCAAATAAATAAATAACTTAATTAATTACTGATAATATGTGTAATAACTGCTAGAAAGTAATTGGTTTATTAAGAGTATCAAGAATTACCACTACTGGATAAATTCTGATTTTTGCTATCCAGCAGAAAACCTGATCGGTCTCACCTGACATTTTTAGGAAAAGCTGTTACTGGAGCTTTTTTGACAACTGCACAGTTTAGATCCTTTAAAGGAAATTAAGTCCTGTATTTCAAATGTCAATGTTTGACAACAGTGAGCCAGATATAACTTAATTACCATGAGATTGCCAGGTAATTACAATTCAATGTATTGACTGTGGACCCAGAACAGAACAAACACATCAAGACCCTCAATATATTACCGAACTGAAACGTGCTTCTTTTTCTAATCTTTGCTACTGTTTGCTGCAGAGATACATAGCATTTTCTGACATGTATTAGCATTCAGGAATGGACTTATCCAGTTGCATTTTTCTTTTTTTTTTTTTTTTTTTCAGAGTAGATATGATTTTTACACCTGGACCTCCATCTACTCCCAAGCATAAGAAATCCCAAAAGGGAGCTTTTTCTTACCCTTCGCAACAGTCTCCCAGGTGAATTTTTTATGCTTAGTATTTTGCACAGACCAAAACAGAAATAAAAAGTTCATTCATACCAATAAGCATGCTCTTCATTCATCCAGACAGTGGTAGTAAAGATGCTGAGAGGATACGCTGCTACATGATATGTAAGTGTAAATGTTGAGCCAGAAAGATGCTTTCTGAAGAAGAATATATAATGGAAATATAAACTTAATGACTTCTTAGTTGTCTAGCTCAGCTTCTTTGCAGTTTTTAAATGTGATTTTATGTTAAATACATACATCTGATTATTGATATACTGAGTTTCTAACATTCAGCTAGCAAACCCAGTTAAAAACCCAATACAAATCACCAATAGTTTGAAGGTAAACCAGTTATCTCCCTGAAGAGGAAAAAGTTCCTTATAGCTCTCACCAAATGGCAAGCCCAGAGTTTTCTATTTGGTGAGAACTGTTGAAAAAACATTGCAATACCAGGTTTCTGGATGTGAAAGTTATAGAGTGATATTGTATTGCTGCATTCCTGGTAGCAAGAATTCAGTAATAAGTGACATTTCTTCTGTCATTTACAACTATAAATCTGTCAGTAAATATCCATGAAGAACCACAGAAGACCATCAACAATCTGTCCCCAAAGCTGTTATGGTTGCTCAGAGCAAAAGTAATGTTACAGAAAATAAATTAATTTGTCTGTATCTGGTTTATCCCACTCAGTGAAAAAATCTAAAAACATGTAAATGTGAAGAGAGAGCCAAATATGGAAGAAACAATGATCATTTGGGAAACAAAGCAGATTGCAGAATCTGAATTTGCCCATACCATCAATAACCCAATGTGCAAAATCTGACATGCCATTAGATATATGACATTAGATATAGTTTCTGCTCTAGCAAGATATATTCTGATTTTTGTCACAGAACTGAACTTGTTAAAACAAAAGTTTTAGGGTATATTTGTTCTAAGTCAAGTTAAAGAACAAGTGCTTAAGGATTGTTTTTTCTAGGCTTTTATATAGATTATGGAAAGACATAAATTCTTTCGAGGTTTGTGTGGAACCCTTTAGATAAATATTTAACTTGATAATGAACATTCCAGGTCCCATGAAGTTATACATCAGAGTTCTTTAGTTAATCAGAGATCATCTTCTTACCTCCTGAAGTTAGTCCATTTGTTGGACAGACAGTAGAAAATAACACAGAAGAAAATTTATTATGAAATCTACTTTAAATTTCCAGGCCAGACTTTTTTTTTTCTGCATTTCCATCTCTGTCATTTACATTTTTGTTTAATAACTGAGAAAAAAACAAATCAAAACAAACAACAACAAACAAACAAAAAGCAAATGCCCAGACTGGAAACTCAGATTCAGTCTTTAAATACACTTATTAAGAAGAATTAAATTTTAAAACACATAGCCCTCTGTAGAACCACTACCTAGAGTATCTCATCATTTTTCACAAACCTGAAATTATTCCACCAAGTCTGAAATGATTTTTGTTCAATCTTAAATATTTTGTTTACTTTTGTTTTCTCTTAACCTTTATCTTAATTTTGAACCAAAATAATTTTAACTTAAAAATGAAAAAAAAAAGTCTTAGAAATGAATTGGAATCACATAGAGTAAGTAGACTTTTGCTCCTGTGTGTATAAATAACTAAATTCAATCTTTTCTTAAATTGGGGCTCCACGAAGCTGTATGAATGTACCATCAAGGTACATTTTTAATGTTTTTTAATATTAATTACTTACTGTGATGCAAAGAAAAAACTGAACACTAATAGAATTATTCATTCTTTATAGAAATGATCCATATGTAGCCAAAGCATCTACAGCAGATACTGAAGACCAAAGTATGATGGGCAAATTTGTTAAAGTTGAACGACAGGTATGTAATTTCATTGTAGTGATGGAGTCTGAGGAGCTCATATATAGAATTATAAAGCTGACTTAAATTCTGTACAAGTCTTTGGCTGACCTAGACAGATTGGTACCCTTGGTGATCTTCTACTAACGACCACAAAACTATGGTGTTAGCTTTTAATTAAATAACTTAATTAACTGGGGAGTGTGCATTTTGAAACCTGATGAATGAATATCATTATATAAGGCAGAAAGACCCTAATCATGATGTTTAGATGGAACTTTTTCATTCCCTTAAACTCCATACTGATTGTGTCTGGTGTTTTGCTATGAGCACCACCTTCTTCTGCAGGATCTGGCACTCAAAAGGATTGCCTCCACAGATATTTTTGGGCCCTCTGTGTGTCCTAACCTATTGCTTGGCAAGTCAAGACACTCTCATCATTTTTAAATACATAACTAAATAAGATGGAGGCAATTGCTATTGATTGGCATCAATTCCTTTAACTGAACGTAAGTGTTCAGTCACAAAGTACTATTGAAAGAGAAAAGAAATTAGTCCTGATATTTAACCTTGATGTTGTGGGCCTATTAAAAGTTAGATAATAGGTCTGTGTGCAAAGGTGATTCCATCTGTTGTTTGGTAATTGCTCATCAATATGCAATCAAAAATTCTGTCATTACATTGTAGGCTGCTGGTGGATGCTGGCCTGTCAAATATTCAGCAACACTAGGGATTATTTTGGCACAGTTGGTAGGGATGAGTCTTCTTAACCTGAGGCAGTTAGAGGATAAAGTGGCAGCCACTGCAGTCCAGCCTCCATGGGAAAGTCATGATTATCCTTTAGTCACCTTCATGATCAATAAAGATCGTAGCACAACATTGCTGGGGGCAGTGCAATTGACTCTTCCATTGAACAATTGACTTCAGACAATATCATAACATTGGTCTTTTTCAGGTTAATGACATGGGGAAGAAACTGGATTTTCTTGTTGATATGCACATGCATCATATGGAACAGCTGCAAATCCATGTTGCTGAGATCAGTCCAATGAAAGAAACTGCTTCTCCTGCAAAGGAGAAGAGAGAAGAAAACAAATATTCTGAATTAAAAACAATAATATATAAATACACTGAGCAGTGTACTCATGAATCTCCTTACAACTTCCAGCAGGTTCCAGTCAACAAAGTCAGTCCTTATGGTTTCTCAGCACATGGTCATATGACTCATTCACGACCTCTATCATTAGGTGGGCAAAACTCTGCCAAACTGCAAACCACACCTTCCTCAGCTTCATATGCAGAAAGGCCAACAGTTTTGCCTATATTTGCATTAATGGACTCCCAGGTAAGCTGTCACTCTCAAGGGGACCTACAAAGCCCTTACTCAGATAAGGTGTCTCCAAGACAGAGAAGGAGCTTAACAAGAGACAGTGATACTCCATTATCCCTTCTCTCTGTCAACCACGAGGAACTGGAGCGCTCCCCAAGTGGCTTCAGTATCTCCCAAGACAGAGACGACTTCCCTTTTGGCCCCAACGGGGGATCAGCCTGGATGAGAGAGAAGCGCTACCTGGCAGAGGGGGAGACGGACACGGACACCGACCCTTTTACACCCAGTGGCTCCATGCCTTTGTCTTCTACAGGAGATGGGATTTCAGACTCAATATGGACCCCGTCAAACAAGCCAGTTTAAAAGTGCGTGTGGGGGCAGTCACTGGTTGACTTCTCCATGTAATGTAAGCATACTTTGTATATCTCACTTACTCTACACCCAAAGCTTACTAGTTCAAAACACCAATGGCTGCATAAGATGCATGTGATATTAGTGGTAGTCATTCTGCACCATTTCGTACAGTTTACTAATGCAGTTTTTTTCATGCTACCAAAACTAAGGAGCTTAGTTTTGAGCATGGTTTGCATGACTTTACCCTATATAAACGGTACAGCTGATTTCTTCTATGATACATATCTATCTGATACTCTTCAATACAATGGTGAATTGATAACAGGCGAGATATGGTGGTCCTTGCTACATTTTGTAAACAGAGCAGCAAAGTAAAAATGTTTTCAGGAGCAATATCCCTTTGCGGAAACATAGTGTCTGAATCCATTTTTCAATCTTCAGTAAACCAATGGCTAACCAACCTAGCCAAGAACATTTAATATTCAAAGCAGGGAAGAAGCTGAGCCAAACTAAAATGCCCTGACTGAAATGGTTTTGTAAACTAAATGTTTCTTGTGTGATACATTATTCAACTACCCATGAAATACAACATCAAAATGTAATTAGGCATAGAATTTAAAATTATCAAAGCCATCTCATGGGATGGGTCATGTGTATTTATTTATTGTAAAAAGTAAATATGAAACCCTCAAACTCCTTTGAAAATCTCCCCTAATGTTTATAAAATTGCTCCAAGAGTGACTACCATAACATTTTGTAGAAAATCTGTTGCTCAGCCCATTTGTTACTTATGGGGGAAAATTTTCCTTTTGTTCAAACAATAAGGTTGTTCAGTGTAGAGAATTCCAGGTTTATACACTTTCCTCTTTTATTGATTTGTGTGCTGCTGGATGAGCTGCATAGTGTAACTTTGCCTCAGTTTCCCAATCTGTTAATTAGGAGTTATGCTTCCATACCAACGTACAGGTTTTAAGGCTCAATTCACTAATATTTGCTAAGTGGTTTCAGCTCCTCAGATGTTCAGAGTATGACTATTCTGTTCCTTGGGAGCTGCACAATATGGGATGCTGCCAAGATCTGTTTGTCTCTTTACTGTTTGTCTTGGAAATGGGCTGCTCCAAATCCATAGGTTTGTGCCATATTAAGATTAATGTACAAATAAATAAATGCCTCTCTTGTCACCTGACCCTGAGCAATAGAGGGGTAGTTGTGCTCTGTAGGCCTCAGCCAAATACTTTTCATGGCAATTGCAAATTATGTGGAGGGAGAGAAGGAAAACAATCCAACCTGCTGTGAACAGGGCAGAAATGAACCAAAGATCACACCACTACAGTGAGAATGTATTATCAATACAGCTAGTGAAATTAGCCTTTCCAAATACGCTATGCAGGATTCATCTGATGTCAATCCAGATGTCCATGAAGTAGTGTCCATTTGATGTCTTTTGATGGCTATGTGCTCTTCTTTACTGCTGGTGGAAAACCAGTCATTAGAGTTAGTGAGCACAGGATTCAAGAACCAAAACACCCATCAGCTTTAGGATGAGATTTTTCCCATCTTTAATTCAAGTATCTGCAATGATCAAATTTCTACCAACTTCAAAAGGAGCAGAGGGGATGACCTGCTTAGATATCAGATGGTAAGAGGCACCCACAGTCAGTAGGCAGGCGCTCAGCCCTGCCCCATTGATCCAAGGTGCAGCATCTCTGCCATGGCTCACGCCCACCTTCTGTTGAGAATGGCCCATGTCACTCCACACAATGACCTCACCAGCATGGCTTGAGCACTGACCAACAGAGACACAAGATTGGCCCCTGTAGAGTTTTAAAATGTGAACTTTTGCAGTGACTGCTTGTGTGATACTGCAGCTGCACAGCTGAGCATTGTTGGCACATCCCATCACAGCACAAGGCAGGCAGACATTTTTCTGATCTTCCCATGTGTAACTGGTTGTTGCACAGGCCTGGATATTGTGTGCCTCAATGGAAGATCCCTTGTTGGGTTTTGCCCACTGTAGTAAACTTAAAGTTTGATTCCTCAGTATTGTTGACATCTCGTAACAGTTGTTCCATCCAAGGATCTTCTATTCTCTTCCAGATGTAGGCATTTCCTTCACCTTCAGTGTTTATTTAAAGAAACATCTGAAGGATTAGATTTTCTTGCTTCATCGGCTTCTTCAGCTAAATCACGATACACCCCTCTGGGAACAAATTACTGTAGTTACATGAGTAAATAATGCAGACCAGTTGCAACCTTTGAAGACTGAGCTGAGTCCATAGACTTGTCTGAGGCCAGTAACTATGATGACATGAGGCACAATTTGATAATTACTTAATTGACAAAATAGCCTTTGACCTGAAAGTTAATTTGTATTTGGTGCAGTTTCATGGCTAAACTTGAAAAGAAGAAAACCAGCTGACAAAAGTGTCATTCATTGTAATTTGGCATATTGAGAAGAATTCTTTGACTATTAGTGATTCTTGGAAATACCTGTGTTGCACCTGCTGCAGGCTTTCTATTTCATGTCTGTAGCAACTCGTAGGATTTAACCTTCACATGACAAATTAAAAGGATTACAAACTGATTTTAACATTGTTAGACTTCTGAAATTCGTGTATTGTAGAAACATAGAATTTGTGGGGCTGGAAGGGACCTTTAAAGGTCATCTAGTCCAGCCCCCACTGCAGTGCACAGGGACCTTCTTAACTAGATCAGGTTTCTGGGATCCTTGTCAAGGCTAGCCTTTAACGTTTGCAGTGATGAGGCCTCCACCACCTCTCTGAGCAACCTGTTCCAGTGCTTCATCACCCTCATGGTAAAGAACTTCTTCCTAATGTCTAAACTAAACCTACCCTGATCTAGTTTAAGACCATTTTCCCTGGGAAAAGGTCTGTCCCAACTTTCCTGTAGCCCTTTCAGGTACTGGAAGGTGCTATGAGGTCTCCCCAGACCCTTCTCTTCTCCAGGCTGAACAGCCCCAACTCTCTCAGACACAGCAGAGATGCTCCAGCCTTCGGATAAATTTGTGGCTCTTGTCTGCACTTATTCTCATAGGTCCATGTCCCTTTTGAGTTGGAGTCTCCAGAACTGGACACAGAACTGCAGGTGGGGTCTTCAAGAGCAGAGCAGAGGGGCAGAATCTCCTCCCTGGACCTTCTGGCCACACTTCTTTTGATGCAGCCCAAGATGTGATTGGCCCTCTGGGCTGTGAATTCACATTGCTTGCTCATGTCCAACTTTCCTTCCACTAGTACCCCAAGTCCCTTTCTGAAGGCTGCTCTGTGTAGGTATGGACTAGAGAAGCCAGCTTCACTTTTCTTATTTGTCAAGTCCCTGGAGTTCCAACTGATTTCATTTGAATCTGGCCCTTCTTAAAATGCTTCTAGATCTGAGTAACAAAAATAAAGGCAGCCAAAAAACAAGTGCAATCTGAAAATTTTGTTTATTGATGTCTTTGACAGTGGTTATGCCATGCAGTTCCCTTCTCAGTTTCCCCTCAAATTCTTCATTTCAGGTTTCTAATCTCTCCCATACCAGGTCATACAAAGGGAATCTTTTCTCAGTATTAAGCCTGGCTGAAAATCCATAAATCTCCTCATTTTAAAGGTATGTTCATTCCAAGATAAAATCCAAGCAAGGGCAGAGACTTGATTCACCTGCATGCATAGTTCAGCCCCAGAGCAGGTAGGATTTGGGCTGCCCTGTACTCTGTGCAGCTGAACTGCCTTCAGGTGAGCATTCCCTGTGGGCTGTAAGCATCAATTTACTACATGCAGCTTAAAAACACCAGGTAGGGTATTTGTAGGCACATCATAAACATTTAATGATGTGCTACCTGGCCAGTAGCCACTTCTGACTCTTCTTAAATGGCACCAATTGTAAGGTCAGCAAGACCCTCTGCAGTGGACGTCTCTGGATCCTCTGGACAGGATGAGGAAGGTCAAAGATGGTCTGTTTAGCTTATTTAACATTATTTTTCTAACACACTTCTCAGCAAAACCAGTTACTGGTCTGTTCAGAAGGGTTGAGTGCTTAGCAGCTCTCTGCCTCCCACATCATCTGGTTTAAAAATAGGGTGTGCATCAGCTCTGCTGTCTGTGCTGACAACAGATATGTGTCAAGATGTCACCAGCAAGGTGGGATCTGGAGACCATACCTGGTCTGGGATGTGCACACAAGCTTCTTCAGACTCCAAGTTGAGTCCAGGATGTGCATCAACCTTGGAGTTGCAGTTTCTGCCATAGATACTGGACAAAATAAAACAAAGTACCTGTGATTATTGGCCCTGGCAACATTCAAAAGGTCAGGACCTGTTTTGCATGGTAGGTTCACCCCATACAGGGAATCAGTTATTCACAATTTCATTTGAGAGAGGCATCTGGATCAATAGTGCTCTTCATACTAGGAACGGATGAGGTTCATCCCCTCTTCCATTTGTATGTGACATTTCAGTTTAGCAGCCATCAGTTTTGTTTGGACCAGACCTTCCTAGCATCTAGACTGACACTGGCACTTTGTTTACGCATAGCTAACTTTAAAGAGAATTAACCATTGGAATCTTCTCTTTGCTGACTCTGAAGTTGTATGAGTGACCAAGTATTCTTTCCAGCCCTTGTGATGTTTTTCATAATCTGAAAGTCTGGACTTTTCCACTGCTCACCTTGAAGTTACTAAGAAATTTCAAAGTTAATTTTGAGTCCTAATCTGTATTTGTGAATTTCCCAATGAAAGACAGCACTGATCTGAAGACAATTTTCTTAGCTACATTTTTACTCTAGTTTTTCAGTCACACATGACACACATCTGGAAATTTTTGAAAATGTGAATCTGTGTTTACATTGTGTATGTGTGTGTTTGCACTGTCTGCAGCATTGTTATCCATCAAGCTTCCTCTCTTTAGATTCAAACTGAGAATATTTCGTTTAGGCAGAAGTGAAGGTTTAGCTGAAGTATGCAGGTATCAAAAATGGGATTTATGCTTCAGCTAAGGAGTTACTCCTTTAAAAGAAAATCTAGTCAGGTAATGGCTGTTGTCCTTGCCTTGGCTTTTCCCTGCACTGAATTAATCAATCCGACTCCTATAACAAAAAAAAATATTAAAAATATATATTAAAAAAAATTCAGCACATGGAAAGATTGATTGAAAAGTCCCTGAACTGACTTTGGCTACATTTGCTCTATTCTTTTCTGTAACTTTGCTGCATTGTTGTGGTTCAGAAGGGAAACAGTTTCAATTTTTTCTGCTTCAAATGGTGGCCCAACAGCACTGCCAACCAGCTCCCTCCTGAACCCCTGAGTAGCAGGGCTGCTGCCTCGTGGTCTTCAGCCAAGCACCGTGGTCTTCTCAGTTTGCAAGATCACAGCCTACAGCAATCAGAAATTGCAGAGT